ATCAATAAGGATAAGAGAAAAAGAGGACATGGCCATGCTTGGCTGTACATATCAATGGAAGCTATCCACTGGCATGTTCTCCATGCAAAAGTTGTGAGATGAAACATTTCCTTATGCCTACATGATTCATAGCAGACATACACATAGAGAGAAAAAAAGGTAACTAATGTAAGTGTCCACCTCGTCCAAGTACACCAGGACAACATACATTTCATAATATTATGAGCTCACCTGAGTTCCCTATCATCCTCACTGGCCCTGCTCTGTGTCCACCAAGAAATTAAGACACACCTTTTTGGTTTGGGCCCTTATGTCCTACAACACACTTCTGAAGGCTGTCCTTTCTGCCTCATTTATTGAAAATAATGCTAGTTTTGCTTGCTTTAAAGATAAGAAGTGATTGAAAACTAATGTGAAACATTTGCTGGTCACTGCTCTTGCTGATGTAATGTTACTTCTTGTACTACAACTCTCCAGGTATCTAGTTCTTGGCTTTTTGATAACTGTTTTTATAATCTCTTTAACTCAGTGGTTCCCAACCTTTTTTTTTTTTACCAAGTATTACTTGAACAGGGACCATTTTGACCAGGGACCACTAGCCAACATTAGTAACAAAAGGGTTACAAATCAGTTTTTGGTCAACTTTTTTGGTTATTTGGGGTGCTGATTCAGAAAATTGCATTGGATAGACCACATCAGAGCTAATGTCTGATACAGAACATATGCCATCCAGTAGTCGCCATCTGCTCATTCACAGAAAACCATATTTAATAATAAAGAGCTGATGGGATAGTAGTAATCTTTCATGGCTAGTCAGTCTGTCTCCTTCAGACATCCCCATTGCCTCAGCATTATAAGAGGTTTTCGTGAAACCAGTTGCTCTTGTTGCCACGTGTTTTCGAGGTAACGGTGTAGTAATGGTGAGGCCACAGACCATATATTCTTTCTTGGTGACTACTGGTGGTCCACGGACCACAGGTTGGGAACCATTGCTTTAACTGTTTAGTTCTTCAGTGGATCCAGTGGTAGGACAATAAAGAAAATCTGGCTCTTTCATGCTGTTTATTATAATGATGGTGATGATGAAATTTGAGGCAAAGCTGTCATAGGTTCTTGAGGTATTTTTTTAAAAAAAGAGGTCTGAAAGCTAAAGTGAAACTGTGCTTAGTTCCTTACAGCTTGAGCAAGTGATTAAAAACATAGAGGATGCTTCTAGGCACACATCTCCATTAGAAATCAAAGGACTTTGCTTGGTAACTCAATATCTTCTGCCATAAGAGAATGTTTATGGAAAGAAAAAGATGGAATTTGGCAGTCAGAAAACACAATTGGGTTACATGTAGAAAATACAATAAATTAAAATTAAATTACAGTTATGTAAATAAATAAGCAAGCAAAACATGTCATCTGAACTTCCTGGAAAATTCTGTGCATATATAAAAAGTCTGCAACGACTCTAAGACAGAAAGGATGCCTCCAGCACTATTTTATTACTTTACTTAAATAGGCCTGCAGGTTAATTATTTGATAAGCGTCTGTCCATATTTTGTGTCCTTTTTAATTATGAATTCGTAAAAGCTGCTTCTAAGAGAAAGCTGAAGTTTGTAGATCTTGTTTTCGCCATAACTGACCAAATCCCCGAGTCGTAATGCCATGGTTAGACTGGCTGGGGCATTATGGAAGCTATGGTTCCAGACTTTGATTCTGTGGCTGAACGTATTGTTTATGGTCATAGTAACATTGGAAGTACAAGCATTCATTCTTACAATTTCTATGGCCATGTCCACAAGGAAAGGAAAGAGATGCGGATATCTTTTTAAATATAGATTCCTTCGTTGGAAGCTTTTAACCAGAGGCTGGATGGCCATCTGTCAGGGGTGCTTTGAATGCAATATTCCTGCTTCTAGGCAGGGGGTTGGACTGGATGGCCCATGAGGTCTCTTCCAACTCTTTGATTCTATGATTCTATGATTAAGAAACTATCGCCATTTAATCGTTAGTGCAGCTTCAGCCCGCCCCCCCCCCCCCCCCGAAATTCTCATGGTGGTTCGCGAAAAGGCCTTACTGGTGCATTATTTAAACTGTTATGTTTATTCATATCATGATCTGATCACCATACTCAATATATCCCATATGCATGGGGGTATTGGGGGGGTAATGATACAAAAGGTTTGCTAGGCTAGACCCTCTTTCACTCAGACTCAGCCCCCCCCCAAACTTAGCCCCCCCCCGAAACCCCCCCTGAAAATTTTTTAGCCCCCCCTTCCCCCGCAAACGAAATCCTGGCTACGGGCCTGCGTTGCTACAAGAGTGACTGTTCTCGCAAAACCCTCTTATTGTGCCAAGGCTTATTAAATATAGTTTCCTGTGGGCAAGCAGATGGCGACTACTAGGATGGCATATGTTCTGTATCAGAAACTAGAGCTGATGTGGTCTATCCAATGCAGTTTTCTGAATCAGCACCCAAATAATCAAACCGAATCTAGTTGACCAAAAACTGATTTGTAGCCCTTTTGGTACTAATGTTAGAGAGTGGTCCCTGGTCAAAAAAAGTTTGGGAACCTCTGTTTTAGTGTGAGCAGGTCTTCTACAAAGTTTGTGGTTGTGTGCCTTCAAAGTTGGCAACCCTAAAGAGTTTTCATGGCAAGACTTATAAAGAGGGGGGGTTGCCCTTGCCTTCCTCTGAAGCTGAGAGAGTGATTTACGCAAGATCAGCCAATAGGTTTCCATGGCACATCACAATTTTGAACCTTAGTCTCCAGAGTTAAAGTCTAATGCAAAAACCATTACGCTGTCTTGCCTCTCTCTGTGAAACCACTAGGTCTCACACACCTTCAAGATCAAGTTACACTAAAATATGTTAGTACAACAGAGACAGACCATAGTAATATTATAATATGCATTTACATTATATAAATATATAATATATAAATATATAAGGTAAAGGTTTCCCCTGATATTAAGTCTAGTCGGGTCTGACTCTGTGTGGGGGTGCTCATCTCCACTCCTAAGCCGAAGAGCTGGCATTGTCCGTAAATACATCCTAGGTCATGTGGCCAGCATGACTACATGGAGCGCTGTTACCTTCCCACCAAGGTGTTACCTATTGATCTACGCCCATTTGCATGTTTTTGCATAGGTTGGCAGAAGCTGGAGCTAACAGCGGGAGCACACCCTGCTCCCCGAATTTGAACAGTCAATCTTTCACTCAGCAAGTTCAGCAGTTTAACCCGATACACTACCGGGCATAAATATATTATATATTAGACGGGGACAAAAATAATCTCTTTCTTCCTTGTGCTTGGCTAAAAAGACTACAGCTCAATTCAGAAGGAAAAAAGAATTCCTATCAAAATCCCCGCTAATTAAAATATCCTAGAGCAGTAATTCTGTGGGCTCTTGATCCACGGCACCGCTGAACTGCAGTGCATGCAGTTTCCCATTATTGCTCCACCCTGACACCACTATTAGGATTCCAGGCATGTGTAATCTCAATTCTGTGTTCCAAGTTTTCCTTTGAGAACTAAAGTATCTGTAGTAAAACCAAGCTTGAATGCCAAAATCATAACCAGCTTTAGAATTCAGGTTGGAGTACTTTTACTACCGTCACAAGTTATTCTGATACTATGAAAAACAAAAAGTACCGTACAAGAAATAATTCCTTAAATAGCAGAAATAAATCACGTCAGTTCATTGGGGCATGGAGGAAATCCAAAACCCACTATCAGGCAATACTGTTACAAGAAGCAATCCAAAAAGCCAATAATAATAAGAATATAGCAATTAAAAGTTAAGAGTTCTTTAAAAACTTTCCATCAAACATGTTAAAAGCAAGCACACCCTGTGAGGAAGCTGACTAGAAGTTAATACAAATACATTTGAACACAATGTATTGTCAAAGGCTTTCATGGCTGGAATCACAGGGATGTTTTAGATTTTTTGGGCTGTATGGCCATGTTCTAGAAGCATTCTCTTCTGACGTTTCACCTGCAATTTTCCAAGAGATCTCACAACCTCTGAGGATTCCTGCCATAGAGTCAGAAACGTCAGGATAGAATGTTTTGCATTAATCTTTTGTTTTATCTTAATTTGATATGTTATGTATTTTGTTTAAATTTTTAATGTGTTTTATTTCATGGTTGTAAGCCTCTCTGAGTCCCCTTTGGGGAGATGGTGGCGGGGTAAAAATAAAGTTTTATCATTATTATTATTACTATTACTACTACTACTACTACTACTACTACTATTATTATTATTATTATTGACAGAAAAACACAGTACGTCACAGCCAGCAAGATATATATTCTGGATTTCGTCTCACAAAATCACAAGTCGAACACTTCCCAAGCATCTAGGACTGTGAGATGTATTTTCAAATGATGCATTATTATTATTATTATTATTATTATTATTATTATTATTATTATTATTTGAAACACAACAAGATGAGTCCACAGCACACAAGATCACTCTGCTGGCTGTTGTATTGAATCACACGTCGGACACTCCCCAAATGTCTAGGACAATAATGCGTGCAGATCCCAGTAAGATGGCCTTTTGCAGCTGGCAGCTGGTAATTTTGTCAGCGCCCATTGTGTTTAAGTGCAGGCCAAGGTCTTTAGGCACTGCACCCAGTGTGCCGATCACCACTGGGACCACCTTTACTGGCTTTGCCAGAGTCTTTCAAGTTCGATCTTTAAATCCTCATATCATGTTGTTATTATTATCATCATCATCATCATCATCATTATAATCATTTAATATAACCTGCCTCGAGCCATGAGAAGTGGTGGGTAAGAAATAAAACACACCAATGAGAAACAAGACAACTCCAGCTGACCCTACTGAGAAGTGTCACTCCACTTTCCGTGCATGCTCTCAGAGAACGCTCCAAGCCAGACACAAGTTCTGCACACCCTTTAACCTGCTGCCCTTGAAAAGTGCACCCCCTCCCGACTGCCAATCTCCTCAAGCAAGCAGAGATGTGGCATGCTCCTGACCTGTGAGGGAAACAATCTGCCCTCCGGCTGCGGCTGGAAATCGGAAGAGTGTCTGTTGGGCTTGCTGCAGCTGTCCAGGTGTGCCTGCAACTGCCACCTGGGCCTGCTGGCCAGGGAGGGCCAGCGAATGTGGCTGTAACTGAGTGAAAGGAATGGTAGGGGTCGCAGGAGGGAGTGGAGCACCTGCCAGAAGGAGGGGGGAAAAACAAAAGGCTTTTATCAGGGCCAGCTCTTTAAAAAAAACCAACAAAACTCCAGCCTCCCTCAGATTAGGCCATTTCCTCCCAGTCCTTCAACTAGAGATTTTTTATTTAGGAGGAAGAGGAGGGATTGGGCTGCCCCAGCTCCAGGTCCCATCCCTGAGCCCTACAATTCTTACAACCAGAAAACTGCCGAACATGGAAGAGGTTGAGAAAGCTCACCTCTTCACAAGAGAAACCCAGTTAGATGGTGGCTTGCAGGAGGGACAGCATAGTTGCAGTTTCCAAGGAACTTTCTGCACTCCTAAGGCTCCAGGCACTGGCAGGCTATTATATGCTAATCAAGGTGGTCAGTTGAAACATTCCCACTTAGCTCCAGCAGACAAGAGTCCTTTGTCCCACCCTGGTCATTCCACAGATATATAAACCCCTTTGCCTAGTTCCAACAGACCTCACTACCTCTGAGGATGCTTGCCATAGATGCAGGTGAAACGTCAGAAGAAAATGCCTCTAGACCATGGCCATATAGCCCGAAAAAAACCTACAACAACCCAGCTCCAAAAACCCTTTCAAACTGACCCTGGCCTTAGGTATGCTTCCTTCTAAACTAACCACACTCAAGAGAATACAGCCTCCGAATCCACTTCTCGCCTCTTACGTATAAAGGTATGCCCACAGTATAACAGAGGAATCCACAAGGAGAATCCAGAAAGAAGTACAGTTGGTAAGAAGAAAGACTCACCTGACATGAGGGTGAAGCCAGTGGGTATCTGCATGAGCCCTCCAGACGCCACGGCGCTGGATCCAGTGGTTTTCAGCACTGTCCCATTGGCACTGGTGACCGCGTTGGGGCTGACACTGGCAGAGACTGGCGCTAGGTAGTTGGTGATGGGGAACGAGGGGCCGCTGCTGACCTGCATGGAAGTGGAGGTGGTGGGTGCCGTTTGGATGGTCGACGTTGTGCCCGGCAGGTTGGTAACTGTGAACGCGGGCTTCAGAGAATCCTGTAAGAGAAGGAGAAGTGAGAAGAGAGCCCAGCCAAGCTGAAATCTGGTCTGTTCCCACAGCCAAAACACCCTTTCCATCACCCACCAGAAACCAAATCTAAGGGGCGAAAACAAGGAGGATCAATTTCCTCCCAAGTCAGAGGTACAGATTCTGTGACCCTACAAAGATGGTCAAGTTTCTCTCCTCCGTCATCATTATCCAGGTTAGAAAAGCCAATGATTCCCAGTCATAGATTCCCAACTCATAACAAAAACCAAAAGTACCAGATGACTTTCTTTAAGAGGATTCCTACCACAATTACCCAACTGATAGGAGCCCCCAGTGGCGCAATGGGTTAAACCCTTGCAGCTGACTGCAAGGTCGGCAGTTTGAATCTGGGGAGCGGGGTGAGCTACCATATGTCAGCTCCAGCTTCCCATACAGAGCCATGAGAGAAGCCTCCCACAGAATTGAAAAACATCCGGGCCTCCTCTGGGCAACATCCTTGCGGACGGCCAATTCTCTCACACCAGAGGCACGTTGCAGTTTCTCAAGTCACTCCTGAAACACACAAAAATAACCCCAACTGATCTGCAAAACATTTAATAAAGAAATCAGGAAAAAAGCATGGACAACAGAGATCAGGGAAATTAGTATGAAGCAATTAACCCAAATGTGTTTAAAGCCAAGCCCTCCCCACTCCCCACAGCTAGACAGATAGGAAGTACCTGGAGCAGAGAGAAAGCATGCAAAGGAATGGTCTAGAAGTAAGAGAAGGAAGACCTCATGACTTCTCTCCATTATAAACCCAACCAGAACAAGGGAACAGTGTATATTTTGAAATGCAATAGCGAGTCGAAGCATGGGATTGGTTCCCCAGGTTTCACCTGATCTCCAGAACCAGGAGGATTCTGGTCTGTGGTGTGTGTATCCTGGCTTGGACTGCCTGCCGCTCCTTCCTCCGACCAATGACCCTGTTGGCACAGAGGAAGGGGAGCATCACTGCCTGATAAATAAAAACTATGGCCCATTATATATTTAATACACTTAGTAGAAATACTGCCTAGCTCCCTTTTACCAACTTGTTGCATTTTCCACTGAATTCAACAGTATGGGTAGTCTCAGGAAAATCCTGGTTGTCTTTTCCTAGACCACTGCTACTGCCCTCCCAGTGAATTTCATGCTCCAGAGGTGCAGAATATGTGGCTCGTGGGTTGCATGACACCACAATGACCTTTTTTTGCTGCCTTTGGCCTCCTTCCAGACCCCACTGCAGAAAAACATTGACTGAAAGTCTTTCCTTTTCTCCTCACTCCCACAACAACAACAAATCAGAAGTAAATGTCTAACCACTTCCAGTTTCACGGGATAGTAGCATCCAGACCTGAAGAATTGACTCCTGGCTGCTGCTTCAGTGGGATGTTCCACAATGAACACAGCTGTCTCATTCCACAATGGGTTAACCCAATGGTTCTCAACTTGTGGGTCCCCAGGTGTTTTGGCCTACAACTCCCAGAAATCCCAGCTAGTTTACCAGCTGTTAGGATTTCTGGGAGTTGAAGGCCAAAACATCTGGGGACACACAGGTTGAGAACCACTGGGTTAAACCCTTGTGCTGGAAGGACTGCTGACTGAAAGGTTGGCAGTTCAAATCCAGGGAGTGGGGTGAGCTCCCATCTGTCAGCTTCACCTTCTCAGGATGGTAGAACATTTGGGCATCCCCTGGGCAACGTCTTTGCAGACGGCCAATTCCCTCACGCCAGAAGTAACTTGCGGTTTCTTAAATCACTCCTGACATGAAAAAAATCCCCCAAGACCCTACAATGATTTCAATATTGCTATTGAATGTCAACAGAGGTTTTTTTTTTGGGGGGGGGGGGGTTGAACTTTACAAGCAAGTCCTTCAGCCTGGAATAAGTATGCGTCCCTTATGAGTCCAGCTTTTATCTAAAATTTAGGTTCAGCTCACTTTTATTCCCATCCCTCTTTCCACCCAAACTTCCTTGGATGTTAATGTTAAGATGTCATACTAAAGACTCCATCAGACCTCATTTCGGATTCAGGAACCTTTGGCTCATCCAATGTGTGTAGTTGTAATTTCCATAATCCCTTACCATTGGCCATGTTTGCATGAGTTTCGGAAAGTGAAATCCAAAATAGTACAATAGCCAAAGATTCCCCAACTCTGCAACTATTTAACCAACCCAATCGCCTAATTCTCTCTTTTTTATTAATTTAGCACAGGCCCCAGACACAGAACATAGTAATTTTTTTTAAAAAATCACAAACTAGAGATAATATGCTGGAGGGCAGTATACAAGGACCACAATTATACTAAGATCCTTGTCCATCTATCTTAGTATTGACCATAGTGACTTCCAACAATACCTTTCCAGGGCTTCAGACAGGATCTTCTCCTAGACCTCCTATATACCATCTAAGATTTCTCATACGAAGACCAGAATACTCTCTGGTCAATAGCACATAGCCAGACAACAAGAAGGATACGTTATTAATGGGGGAAGGACACATAAACTTGCTATTCTAATCAGAAAAATATGGAACTTATGAGTATAGGAAGGACAAATTGTCTTTCCAATATCTCCTCTTCCTCCTGTTCAATTAACTGAGTGCAAACTACAAGAAGACCCCTATAACTGCGGAATCCATATCCGCAGTTTCGCTGACCTGTGCCTGGGGGAATGGTCTCTGTAGAAATTTGCTAGGTCCTTCAAAAATGGTAAACTACCTGGGATTTCTGAGAGTTGTAGGCCAAAATAATAATAATAATAATAATAATAATAATAATAATAATAATAACAAAACAGCAAGCAAATAAAACAGTATAATTAATATAACTCACATATAAACAATAACACAGAGAATTTAAAACCTTATGGCCGGGCCAGATGTAATAAATTAATTTTTTTTAAAAATAGGATGTATCTAAGCAGGAGGGTTTAAAAAGATAATGTAGGGAGACCAACCCAACAGGTAGTAAAGTGCTTCTGAGGACAATTGCAAAGATTTAATCAGAGCAGGGCATTGTTTCCTTATTCAGGGAAGGCACACTGGAACAGCCACGTTTTCAGGCTCCTCCTAAAGACTGCCAATGTGGGGGCTTGTCTGATATCCTTGGGGAGTGAGTTCCAGAGTTGGGGGCCACCACAGAAAAGGCCCTCTCCCTCATCCCCACCAATCGCGCCTGCGAAGGGGGCGGGAGCGAGAGCAGTGCCTTTCCAGATGATCGAAGAGATCACGTGGGTCATACACAGAAATGCAGTCACGTAGGTAGGCGGGTCCCAAACCGTTCAGGGCTTTGTAGGTAAGAACCTGCACCTTGAATTGAACCAAAACACCTGGGGACCCACAGGTTGAGAACCACTGCATAGTGTACTTCCCATGAATAGTATATAGTTGTCTTGGAGAACCTAGAGTTTTCTAGAGAGGTATTCTCTCTAGAAATTTGCTAGGTCTTCCAGTGGAAATCTGACATTCAAGGCCAAGAAATCTTTTTTTTTTTTAATGATGTTCAGTCATACCCATGGTTTCAGGCAACCAGGGCCTAGCCAGAAACCTATTCCCATGGATGAGGGTGATATCTTACTGTATTTTCTTTGCATCCCTGGAATCACTTTTTAGCAACTGAAATAATCTGAGGACAAAGGTGACAAGCAAGAGAAGAAACCGGGACACTAACAGATTAATCAGAGCTTTCACTGCCAAAAAGGGACAGTTGAAGTGTACAGCCCTACATATCAATAGTATAGACTGAACTCAGATCTACTGAATGCAAAATATGTACTAAGGTACATGCCTTACCTACATATGAACACTTTTACATTCAAACTTTTAAAAATGTTTTCTGAGAAAAAGAGAGTGGACGTCTTTTGTTTGCAAAGAACCTGCTAAGAGAAATGGCTGCTGTCCAAAGTTGATCATGTTCAGAATAGAACATGCTGCCAGAAATACCCAGGGAAATCAGAAATGTCATGATCAGCATCCTTATGAGTTGTGCCGTTCTAGCCATATCAATCATTCAATGCCACAAATGGAATGTATATCAAAAGTTACACAATAATACAAGAACACATCTGCATTCTAATTCATGGGAGGTCACCAGTTTGCTGCTTAAAGAAAGAATGTGTAGTTTTTGTTTTGCTTTCCTACAGAAGATAAGGCTTTGTAATCTATCTTGGAGGTGAGACTGGTATTCCTTCTAAGAAGCAAATCATAGTAAATATGAGTTTTTAGCCACAAGGCAAAAAAAATTCCATAAATTTATTTTCCCAGGCTTGCAGGAGATGAGATAAAAGAGGGGAAAATCTGAAACAACTTGATGTCTCTTCATTTTATTCATTGATCTCAAATCACATAAAACACCAGAACACTGAGTGTCTGACAGAACAGATTTTCACAGCATTACAACTACAAATTTCTCAGTCACTTTCATCCTTATTCTCAAAACACTTGGGTAAATGCACCCATAGGGCTGGGCTTTAGCACAGCTGGTTAATCACCAGCAGCAATAGATCTTACCAATCAGAAGGTTGACAGTTCAAACCTTGGGTCAGGGTGAGCACCTGACCTTCTGCCCAGCTTACTGTCCACCTAAGCAGTTCGAAAACAGCTGTGAACTGTGAGTAGAGAAATTAGGCAACGCTTAAGCGAGGAGGTATTTTACGGCACCATAAAGGAAATAGCAGAAAATGCCAGTGATCAAAGGAAGGAGGAAGTCTGTGATCAAGGCTCTTTGTCCTAGAGCAGTGGTTCTCAACCTGTGGGTCCCCAGATGTTTTGGCCTTCAACTCCCAGAAATCCTAATAGCACTGGCTGTGATTTCTGGGAGTTGTAGGTCAAAACACCTGGGACCCACAGGTTGAGAACCACTGTCCTAGAAGATGTAGCGATAGTACCCCCTTGTGGTCGAAATCGAGCACAACCTCCAGGATGCTGAAGCTGGGGAAAATGCCAGCATATACCTCTATCTGTTGTCTGTCCTGTCTGTTTAACAGCATTGAATGTTTGTTGTGTATGTTTTCCACCCTCCGCCCCTTTGGTGTGAGAAGGGTGAAATATAAACCCTGTAAAATAATAATAATAATAATAATAATAATAATAATAGGTCCATGTAAGTACTCTAGGTCCTCCAGTGCAGTTCTGTGGTATTGTCAAAATATAGGGTTCAATATTATTCATATTTTCAGGTATCCACATGGGTCTTGGTACATACCCTCCTCCTATATATACACAGGGCAATGGGGGTATTGTATTCACAAATTGCATATCTGTATTGAAAAGAACCTGAAGCATTACAAACATCTAAAAGTGAGAGGAAAAATGGTTCAGCTTAAATGCGCCCTTGTCACAACTTCCCTAGGAGCTCCATCGGGCACAGTGGGGCAGCTGGTAAAACACATATGCCAGTCTAATTTCCTTCTTTATGTAGAAATGGAGTTGGGAGGTAGGAAGCGTCTTCTTATTCTTTGTCTAAAGCATCAAAATGGCTGAGTTGAAAGTGGTAAAGTGGCTTTTGGATGGTAACTCCCAGCTTCCTCATCCACCAGAAGGATATTCTGGGAGTTATAATCCAAAAAAGTAACCTTTCTGTACTCCTGACTCTCTCTCTTCAGAGTGAACAACAATCATTCACTTAAACGTGAGAAGATAAAAGAGTGCATTTCTGGATGTTATCTGAATGAGGGCTTAACCTGCAGCAAAGTCATTGGAGAATTAAGCCTGTTTTGTTTCAAAAGTCTTCTCCTGGTTTGGCTTCTTGGTCACACTGGAATGGATTAGAAGGGAATCATGTGCCACCTGTCACTGTCCAAGGATCAGGAAGAGAGAAAAAGCAGACATAGACAGCTCCATCACACCTAGGAACAGATGAAATCCCACTGGCACTGCCCTGACTTGGAAGACGGAGAAGAAATTGGTACAGCTCCATCATACCTAGCCCAGATGAAGATGAAAG